AGAGTGACGATAAAGTAGTCATTATATTACATGATTATATCGTGAAAAGGTGTTGTTTGCTTACAAAACATCGGCGTCACAACGAATAAAGGCTAAGACCACCATAGCGACGATGCAGCGTTGATTGAGTCAATGTACCCATTAAATTCAAGAAAATGTAGTATGAAAACAGGTCATGGTGGGGTGGGGGGATGGAAAAGGGAGGGGGGGGGGTATTATAACTCCTTGGGCGAAGCTTTGGTTACAATGGGCGACCGGGTAGCTGCGTTGGCTCGCCGGTAGTGACTTCGTCGCCGGTCTGGATAGTATTTGGGTATGTCTCCTTTGATCGTATCAAAACCGCAGGAGTCGTTTTCAGGGCTCTTGGTGGGGCACAATGCTAAGTCTTTTATATGGAGCACATAACCTGGTCACAATTATGACCTAAAGCTCCTCCTGCGGAGTTGCCAGTTGAACGTGACGATTTGTTTTCTAGAAAGCATAGACTTACCTAGCTTTTGTGACATTTGGAATACCCATCCTTCTCCTTGTTCAACTTCTCCTCTTCTTCTTTCTCTACTTCTTCTTCTTCTTCCTCTTCTTCTTCTTCTTCTTCTTCTTCTTCTTCTTCTTCTTCTTCTTCTTCTTCCTTCTTCTTCTTCTTCTTCTTCTTCTTCTTCTTCTTCTTTTTCTTGTATTTCTTCTTCTTCTTCTTCTTCTTCTTCTTCTTCTTCTTCTTCTTCTTCTTCTTCTTCTTTCTTCTTCTTCTTCTTTTCTTCTTCTTCTTCTTCTTTCTTCTTCTTCTTCTTCTCTTCTTTTTCTTCTTCTTCTCTTCTTCTTCTTCTTCTTCTTCTTCTTCTTCTTCTTCTTCTTCTCTCTTCTTCTCTTCTTTCTTCTTCTTCGTTCTTCTTCTTTTCATCATCCTCACATCTTCTTCTTCTTCTTCTTCTTCTTCTTCTTCTTCTTCTTCTTCTTCTTCTTCTTCATCTTCTTCTTCTTCTTCTTCTTCTTCTTCTTCTTCTTCTTCTTCTTCTTCTTCTTCTTCTTCTTCTTCTTCTTCTTTTTCTTCTTCCTCTTCTTCTTTTCATATCCCAAACGAGCATAGACTCTGAACTCTGAACTCTATATCTCTATGTAAATATTAATGTTGGGCTTTTGTATTCTTCACGATGCCTAATGTGAGTAACTAATGACTTTGTTGTACTTATTTACTGCTCATGAACATTCAGAGCATTACATAAGGATTCTTTCCAAAAGAGCTGGTTACATTCGTGCAGCGATTTACATGTTGCACTAGAGCCGCAATTTGTGGTAATAACTTTCACCTTTTTACAGCGCTGGTGTTTAGATTTTGCATTTAACTTCCTGTGATTACGCAAGGTGACTCAGCTGATAAATACAGCCAAAAGATAGATAGGAAGACAAACGGAGAGATAGATTGTGATACAGACACACAACACACACACACGGACAGAGGGAATAAAAGGGGAGTGGGGCGGGGAGAGCAAATCTATCGCCATGAAACCGAAGGGTAAGTGTATTTTTCGGGCGCTAAGGCCTTCTCGTGTCATAACAAAAGGTTGTCCGCAATCTTCTTTCGTTGCTTCCTCTATCTCTATGTCTATAAACTTCTTCTTTTTTGCGTTCACCAGATGTAAACTCCAGCAGAAAGTTCTGGCTGTTCGTCCACCTCTGGACTCTAGTCGGGTTCCGGAACCTGAGTGTTGCGTGCACATCCATTTCACACAGGTAGCTTATGTGCATGCAGACTCTTGGTTCCTTGTAGCCCAGGATGATGTAATCTGACTAAGGATACCTGCAAATAGTCGTCTCCTACGACATGCTTGTCTGGGAGACAGATGGTCTGTTCTTGTTTTCCCATAATGGGACCGTGGAACCCATACGGGGAGTATAGGGGTTAGCTTTAAATGAAGCAGGGTTTTCGCTTGAAATAAAGGTACCGGTACTCACCATAAAGTGTCTAATAAAAGGTGACAGTACTCACTTCAAAGTGTCTTTAGTAGCAGGGCTAAACTTAAACTGTAAATGGTGCTTGTGCTGCGTACCGGTGCGTACCGCCAGACAACAACAAAAAAGACTTGGCTTTAGGGAGGAAAAAGTTGCGTATCCTATAAGGACGTTGCAGAACCAACCCCAGCATTTTTTGGCTGTTGTGATTTATCTAGGCAAATTTTACGTTCAGTAGTTTGCCATTGCTATCTAAACGGTCAGCGCTCGGTACCACTGTCGAAACCAACTCAAGACAAATCGTCCGCAGCTGGGATCGAACCAGACATTACAAAGAGCGTTCATAACGCCTATGCCACAGACGCTGCCCTTTAGGGGGAAACCCACTTTAAAAGAGGATGGGTTAAGGACGGTCGACTGTGATGTGTGTCAATATTGTCTCAGTTAAACTGCCCGTGGTTTCAAGCCACATGCCAAAATCTCAGACATGAAAACATGCGTGAGCGTGCGCACGTATGTCCTCTCTCTCTCCCTCTCTCTCTCGCTCTCTCTCTCTCTCTCCCTCCCTCTCTCTCTCTCTCTCTCTCTCTCTCTCTCTCTCTCTCCATACACATGGGAGAAAGTGACAGAGGCAGATATCTAAATAAACAGATTTAAAGTATGGATAAACAAAAGGACATATAGACACAGACACACTTAGGTAGGTTTGCAGTCATTAGAAAGAAAGAAAAGAAAGAAAGAAAGAAATAAATAAAGAAAGAAAGAAAGAAAGAAAGAAAGAAAGAAAGAAAGAAAGAAAGAAAGAAAGAAAGAAAGAAAGAAAGAAAGAAAGAAAGAAAGAAAGAAAGAAAGAAAGAAAGAAAGAAAGAAAGAAAAAAGAAAGAAAGAAACGATATAGAATAAAGGGGAAGTTAAAAGAAAAAGAAGAAGAAGAAGAAGAAGAAGAAGAAGAAGAAGAAGAAGAAGAAGAAGAAGAAGAAGAAGAAGAAGAAGAAGAAGAAGAAGAAGAAGAAGAAGAAGAAGAAGAAGAAGAAGAAAGGGAAGAAGAAGAAGAAGAAGAAGAAGAAGAAGAAGAAGAAGAAGAAGAAGAAGAAGAAGAAGAAGAAGAAAGAAGAAGAAGAAGAAGAAGAAGATCATCAAGGACGAGACATCATACAGCGCAACCCTCCTTTTTACACAACCCGACCCCATAATAACCCACAGTAGTTTGGGGGGGGGGGGAATTTACTGGTATTTCTGTCACAAAGTACTATGTTCACACTACACCGTTGTCCTTTCTAAATAGAAACGGCGATGTCACCGTTTTGTGAATGGCTGGTTCTCATGTTTTAGTTTGAACCGCGGAAACTAACGGATGCTTTCCTTCACAACTGGAACTGCTTGCCGGTTGGCCATGTCCCACCATCACATGATGGCCGTAACCTCCAGTTTGTTGTCTTTTCTCTCTGTCTCTCCCCTTCCCCACTAGTTATCTGATTGGCCAGTGTTGGTTGTGCTTTTAATTCACAGACGTGGGTGTGTGGTGACGTCATGGGAGTTCGCTATAAATATTCATTTCTCGCGCAGGTTAGTTCAGAGTTTTGAGTCAAACTTAAAGGACAGTAAATAAATAAGCAGAAAAGAAGTTTAAACAAATATTTCAGCCAGACAAGACACAAGAACTGATTGTCATTTCATCTATCAAAAGTTAAACAGGTATATGTAACTTTGTTAAAACTGTGTAAGGTGTTATACAAGATGTATATCTTTAACCAAATATATATATATATATATATATATATATATATATATATATATATATATATATATATAAAAATTACATTAAATATTAAGCATTTATAATTTCAGTCAACGTTTAAGTCGAACTTACTGACGTTTTAGTCGATCTTACTAGGATAAAAAAAAAAAAAAGGGGTTGGGGGGTGTATTTTTTGTATTGTATCAGTTTTTATGTTGTCTAACGCCAAAGGAAAGCATGATATTAAAATTGAAAAACAACGTGCCATCATGAGGATGAGGATCACCCGTGAAAAGGTCTGGAAACCCCGTTCAGCCGTTAAGATATATTAAAGGCCCGGCTATAAGCAGGGCACTATGCCAAAGTCAGGATGGAGCTTTAGAATTATTCTAAGAATAACTACAAATTGCCTCCCTAATGGGGACGACAGTGATCGTTAAAAATGCAGCTAAAGTACGCAGAATACTGTAGTAGAATTGTATTAAAGATATTCTGGGTTACATTAGGATATTAAAAATTAGGTTTGTCTCCTACTTTTGGCTATTCAGCACCTTATAGATCATGTGTTCATGTAACAACTACGCCTAATGTGTAAAACGACAGTCTATATCCCTAAAACGGGCCAGTTGTATGCCTAATAGAGAGTAAATTTGTTGTAACTTCTTGCGCTTGAGTTTTTCTGAATGGCCACTGAGTCATTGCATTGCATCAGCGCCAGTAATATGTAGTTTACAAGCAGGCTCAAAACGTTAGGTTTATCAACGTATTATCTGAGCACTTGCATTCCAAAAGGGATGTTATTTCAACAAAATTACATTTCAAAATCTGTATAATTTCGTCCCAAATATGGAGTCTTGTGGTAAATTAAAGTCTTCCTGAACAGAACATGTAGATATTACAGCTACAACAAAATAGATAACTGTAAAGAAAAATTGATTAGTTTGCGGTTATGAATGCATAAACTATGCAAAGGAAACTAAAAATCGTAGAGCTGTTGTCTCGTACTAAATGATTTTTCAATGCCAGTCTGCTACTGTTGTTGTCGTTGGTTTCATAGTATTCTCTGTTTGTGTTTCTTTTTGTTTTTTTGAAACTTGCTGATCTACTTTTTGTTCGGTTTTATTTCTGTTCATGATATTATTTTCCATGAAGTATTTTCGAGAGTTGTAAATTAATTTGCTTCCATGTTAGTGTAAGACTTGTCTGAATTCTTATTTTTGTCTAACCTGATATATCGTTTGTACTATTCTGTGGCTACTGGATTCCTGTTGTTATCGGTCTTGTTTCTAAAACAGTAGGTAGGTAGGTAGGTGTGATGGTGTCTGTGTGTGTTTCTTTTACATTATGTGTTGTTTACCTTGGAAACTTAATGGCTGCATCTTGCAGTTCACGTTTTCTAAAGGGTGTGGTAAAAGTCTCACCAACCCTAATCAGTTGCCTCTTACGACATTTACTGGGTTACAGTGTTACTTTTCTGTGCTTCTCTTATGGGCCTTAATGACTAACTGGCGTCTTTTTCACTTAGAAGCATTTTAAGTACAACATTGAGCAAAGGTCTCATTTTCGTGATTAAAAAATGTAATGTGCATTTAATGTAAGCCCCTATATTTTTTAAACCAATCTCTACTTGGTACGTGGGTTGGTCAGTAACGCGTCTGTCGCCTTTACTTCATTAAAAATTTCCTGATACCAATTTCAAGACTGGTTCGACATAAGCGTTCATACCAGTTTCCAAAGTCCATGTTGACAGGGATTCGAACAAATTACCACTGGATCGACAGGCAGGGAACATCATAAAATTATATTAGCTAAGACAGTCCTCGGCCATTTAATTGCTCAAACGCACTGTACATATATAAAATTAGCTGCGGTAGTGTGATGGCTAAAGTTTGTCCTTGGTGCGAAAGTCTTGGGTTCGGAACTGCATCGGGGCTCCCAGTTCTGCACAGTCCAAACTGTGCATATATATGTGGGTCTATATAACTTTATTCCCACATTGGAACCCACACTGGAAGATTTGTTAGTAACAATATGGATCTAGCACAATGAGCGAAGTTCGATTCCCGGCATGAAAACAGGTTGGGTTTTGATTTTGATTGTCTAGTATGTCTTCTTATCTCTCTTTTTCTTTCTATGAGTGCCCATCAGTTCTTGTTTATTTGTTTATTTGTCGAAAGCCTCAGGGTTCCCCGCCTGTTCATTTCAGATTTGTCACTTAGCTGGAAAAGGTTCTTTACTTTCAATGTTTTATACATACTCTGACCAGGGAATATTGTGGATTTCTCTCCAGGATATTCGGGTGTGCTGGGTTATAAGCAAGCTAATAGATTGGTTGCTGCCGCTCCTCTGGGTGGTGAGCTACATTATGATAAAGCGGAAGTGGTGAATGCTGCCTGCGATAAAGTGGACAGTGCACAGAACAGACCAAGTATTTATTCACTGATAGACTAATTCAGTGAGGGGTGAGAAGGGGGTCTGTAGGATATTCAACATTGCAGGGAAAACAGACTGAGCACACGTGGGAATGTTCCCAGTGAAGATTTGTCAGTTCTTGACTGATTCTTCTTCTTCTTTGAGTTCACCAACAGAAAATTCTGCGGAAAGTTCTGGTTATTTATCCACTTCTGGACTGCAGTCCTGCTCCAGAACCTGAGTGTTGCATGTGCATCTGTTTTACAGATCTGACTCATTTGTATGCAGACTGCTGGTTCCTTGCCTCTCAGGCAGATGCACTCCGACTTCAAAGGAAGCTCCCAATTAGTCGGCTCTTACGACATACTTTGGGTAGACAGTGGGTCTTCTCTTGCTTTCCCTATAATAGGGCCCCGGAACCCACACGGGGACTTGATTGATTGATTGATTATTTTATGCATTTACGACTGTAATACATACTTATATCAAACTATGGTTCTACTACAGGAACACGTTTGTTTGCGCTTTGTGACAAGGGACCAGAAAACAACTAGAACGCCCACATTACCAGCTAATTCTCAGTGGTCGTACAAAACGCCAGCAGTTGCAAGAGGGAAAAAATTGTTGTGGCCTGACTCTGTTGATCGATCACTGTTTGTCAACAACACAACGTCAAGTGCGAAAGTCCAGTCCACATTACGACATGATAGCCGCACGCTTGTTTTTAAGTGTCACTGTGTGCCTGATCTACGTGCCTCATTTAACAGCATCCTTCCTGAGGGTGAGTACAAAAGTGTTTCATTTAGTTAGTTAGTCGACAGATTATCATCATCGCACATCGAACCATTCAGTCCATAAGTGCTCACATCCCCTCTGCAGTATCGCCCTCAACGTGTAGTGGCTTATGACATCAATTCTGTATTGGTTTATTATTCTTCTTTGGACCCCTATGTAGCGCTCTTGTTTAGCTTTACCCCTTTTAATGTTATGTTCGTGTAGTCTCGTCAGTGTTGCAGATTCACAATCATTACTTGATTCGTGTAGTCGAGCCGCCTCTCTAAGGGCATTCAGTATATCAGCCCTGTCAATTGCTCGTCTGTTTCCCACGTGAGCATCATTTGCAAGTCTGTCAGCTCGTTCATTGCCCTTTACACCTAAATAACCGAAAGAAATATGAAACTGATTTTTTTTTTTTTTTGTCAACGTACTATCTGAACACTTGCACTCCAAGAGGGATGTTATTTCAACAAAATTAAATTGCTGAATCTTTATAATTTAGTCCCAAATACGGAGTCTTGTGCTAAATTAAGACTTCTTCTTCTTCTTCTTCTTCTTCTTCTTCTTCTTCTTCTTCTTCTTCTTCTTCTTCTGCTTCTGCTTCTGCTTCTGCTTCTGCTTCTTCTTCTTCTTCTTCTTCTTCTTCTTCTTCTTCGTCTTCGTCTTCTTCTTCTTCTTCTTCTTCTTCTTCTTCTTCTTCTTCTTCTTCTTCTTGCAAAGCAACAAATCAGTTTCGCTAATCACCCACGGGGAGTCGCCATAGTGTAGCTGCTAGACGTTCGCCTCCGGATCGGAAGGTCGTGGGTTCGGGTCCTGGCAGAGCTTTACTTTCCCAGGACAGATGTCCTGGTACCCATTTAAGGCTGGGTCGACCTGCAACGCCCCCCCCCCCCCCCAAAAAAAAAAAAAAAACGAATCATCCATGAGCTGCAGCAGTTCATTACCACTGATAATTCTCACTTTTAGCTGAACCATCACTTTTATTTTTAGAACTCGGTGTGGTCACCCTACTGTGAAGTGCATGATTCACCACATGATGAAAGCGACCCGACCTTGCTGTCGCCTATTGTTAAGCGACAGTACAACCGACCAAACTCCCAGATTTAGCCGGGAAATATTTGACTTCTCACGCCCACGATTTCTTTAGTTTCAGTTGTTCCCGCTTGTAGCGGATGGGGCGTTCTTAGCGGTCCCACTGAAGCGATTAGTTTATCCATTCATGACCATCAAGTGTCTTGACTGGTATAAAGAATGTATGCAGGACTTCGTTGTCTGTGAGGGGCGTTCTGTCGCGGGGACTAAAGGCGTGCTTGTCAATCTGAATGTCTTGGGTTTGAATAGTCTAAAATTATAAGATGCCAAGCGACAAAGAAGCCCACCCCTGTTCTTATATTTAATTAAGCGTACAGTCGGCGTCTGTGAGTTAGGTGTTACGAACGCGCTTGGTTATGCTGGGCTGTCCGGTTCGATTCTACCTCAGTGCAGTTTGACAGCAGACCGCCTTGTGCCGATTTCGGTAGGGGTAGCGAGAGTGGCAAACTACTGAACGTAAACTTACCTAGTAAAACCAAAACCAGTTAAGACATGCTGGGGTTAGTTCTTCAACCTCGTGTAAGACATACGCGACTGGGAACTTAATTAGCAGCCCACATGGCCGCGTTAGCGCAGTCGATAGAAGGCTCGCTTTGAAATCCAGCTGCGACTCGCTGTGGCCACAGACGGTGTTCGAAACCGGAAGTCAAACTTAAGTCTGAGAACTTCGTAGGCCTCTGTGGACGGTAACAGAGTGAGTAGGCGTTAGAATGTCCCCAGTCCATTTGTTGGTTCTTAATTAATATCTGACCCCCCAGATGTCGTCATAGGACAGTCCAACATTTTAGCGGGTGGCAAGACTGGGTTTCCCGGCCTTATGATGCTTTTAACGACCCCAAAACATCTAGAACTGGCCCTAACCCCAACCCACCTACATCCAGCGAGAGAGTGCAGCCTAGGTCCCAAGAATTCATGCAGCCCAGGTCCCACGACTGCATGCAGTCTTTATCTACCATCCCCTGAAATACTAGATTGTTCCGTGACCTGTGGATTTCCCTTGTTTGGGGTAGGATATTATTAGAGCACCCATTTGTTTTCGAATTGTGGAAAGTCTAGATTTTTATGACTAATTATTGTTAGTAGAAGTGAAGGTACCCTCTCTACTCCTAAGGGTTATTGAACAATACTAATAAAATCATTTTAAAAAAAAAAAAATCAGTCAATACAGTAACGCGTGTTTTTAATATCACGCTGGCCACCTACACACCTCATGTCCATTTCTTATACATGCTTAGGGCTGGGTTGACATCGGATCTTATGTCATTTTTTTATAATTCTGCCTAAACAGAGATTCAAAATTATGATTTCTGATTGACAGGTAAGCGTTTTAGTCACTGCGCCACCAAAGATCCCTTTATAACTGCAGCTGAGAGTAAAATCCCACTACGCACCCTTTTCGCCAGCAATTTGTAAACCGTCACAAATGCAGAACTATACATGCGCCAAAAGTTCCCGCAAGTGAAGCCATCAGTGATTTCATCATCGTTGCACGTGTGACCAAAATATACAAGGAAACTGGGCTAACGGAAAAAAAGTGAACAAAAGAAAACTGATAAGCCACCTCAAGTTAGACCAGAGGTTAAAGGTCTCCGCCTATGGCTCTAACAGACTGCTTTCGTTTTATTTATTTGATCGTTTTAGTTTTCAACTCTTTAAGTTTTGGTTTTCTTTGTGAAATTTTGTTCCTGTATGACAGATATCATACGAAAAAAAAAAAATGAAAAAAAAAAAAAATCGTTTGATTACTATAATTTTAGACAACCCTAAACAAAAGGAAACCCAGAATCCCCAGTTTAGTCCACTATTCTAGGGGTGTTATGCTGTTGTCAGCGTTTATATGACGTCATTATTCTCAGTGTGTGTTTTATGTAATAATTGTCAGTGTGTGTTGTTTTACCTAGTAAAACCAGAGCACTTCTGGTTTATAACCATGTGCAATGACGCTGGTTCATATCTCACGACTTTACCTTTACCTATACACTTGTCATCGCAAAAGATGACACTCTGTCAGTGGCGTAGGAAGGAGTTGCCGGCAACCGGGGGTCCATCACCGGGAGGTTGCGGGTGGGGGGCAATATTATATATATATATATATATATATATATATATATATATATATATATATATATATATTATATATATATATATATATATATATATATATAAAGTATATATACATGTGTGTGCGTGTGAGTGACAGGGAATTTTCCGCACCGGGTCCACCTGACCTTGTTAAGCCACTGCACCGGTAAAGGGTGCTCTAATTATAATTTCCTAATGGGTTGAACAGGGAACCTTTGATTTTGCCTGTTTTATTATCGTCCAGGGTGCCGCTCTTTGAGCCACAGGGGTGATCAAATCAGGTATAACTCCCGGGTTGCTGAAAGGGAGGGGAGGGGGGCATTCAGCCAACTGTGAAGGTTAAGATCGCAATACGCTAACCACATAAGATACATGAACATTTTAAAATCTGCCTTCCGGTTGGTCGCTGTGATACAGTAATTTAACCCAACACAATTTAAGTGACAATAATTCAACGCAACAGGATTTTACGTCCATAGGACAATTTATTAACAGGTAAAGTATGTTACTACAGCCATTCTAAACGGGTTTTCCGGTCGTTTGGGTTTACAGTTTTGATTGGATGGGGGCAAAAGCAGGTCGAGGTTGCGTCGGTTTGTGGGTGCGTCAAAACACGACCTAGTGAACCGACTACAGTAAGGAATATGTAGGTGAACTAAAGCCGCGTTTTCACCAGGCCGGCTTGATAACATTTGGCGCTGATATCCTACAGGTTCAAGAGTGTAGAGAGGGGTTTTCGTGTTCTCAGATAAAACCACTACGCTAACAATGGGTTTCAGTGTACAATAAAGAAATTACAGCGGTTTAAATTTTTTTTTTTTTTAGGTCTGGGACACTTTTCTCAGACAGATTTGCGTATGGCGCAACAATAATTAAAACGCTGGCTTTTGTCCTATTAAAAAAAAATACCGACACTACAATGTTTTTTTTTTTTAAAAGGTGCCGGTACTTATCACAAAGTGCCTATCACAGAAGCGCTAAAAAGGTAATGCATAAAAGGGTGCCGGTATTGTGTACTGTTGCGCACCGTAACAAAAGACTTGGTTTAAATTACGAACTTTGCAATGAACTGTTTAGGCTATTAGAGCTTCAACTGCTTCTTAGCATACACCCGCACCACCACTCTTTAAAATTAAGCCATAAGTAGTCATGGACATTATTAAGTATTGGGTTTTTTTTTTTTTCCCAGCAGAAGTCAGCGTCACCAAAACGTTTTGGCAAGTCAACAGGTATGAAGAAATATTCTTATCATTCTATTACTATCAATTTTCTGTTTGTAATATACGTAATTAAAACTTGAAAAAAAAATTAATTAATTAAAAGCGAGTTAAAAAAAATTCACAAGCTGTATTTCAAACCAAAATTAATAACATTACTGCTGAGTGGAAAACGGGGAGGTGAGGTAGCTGCTGTAGCCACACTTGCTTGTAGCTGCACTTGTTTGTTGCCACATATGCTTGTAGCCACATTTACTTGTAGCCACAAATGCGTGTAGCCACACTTGTTTGTAGCTACACTTGCTTGTAGCCACATTTGCCTGAAGCCACAGTTGCTTGCAGCCACAGTTGCTTGTAGCCACAGATGCTTGTAGCCACATATGCTTATAGACACAGTTGCTTGTAGCCACAGATGTATGTAGCCATATTTACTTGTAGCCACATTTACTTGTAGCCACATATGCTTATAGACACAGATGTATGTAGCCACAGTTGCTGTAGCCCCACTTGCTTGTAGCCATATATGCTTGGAGCCACAATCATTGTTTCACCCTGTGTAGGTACCGGGGTTCCATGTAAAAAAAAAAAAAAGAGAATAAAAGGCGACAGATTATACACTTGCCGTTGTGCCGACAGGCGCAGATATTGCAACCTATCTGTAGACAATAACGTCTAGCTGGCCACTTCATTTTGTATAAAACTTGAATTGCGAAATCCCACTGAGCGTGTCTGCAAAGGGCTTAGGCCAGGTAGCTGACTACCTGTACTTTATTGACTGATGAAAACGGAAAAAATAGTAGAGAAAGAGAAAAGCAAAACAAAGAAGAAGCAGGAGGAGAAGGAGCAAGAAGAGCTAAAGGCAAGAAGTAGTAGCATTACTACTAACTACAACTAGAAGAAGCAGAAGAAGAAGAAGAAGAAGAAGAAGAAGAAGAAGAAGAAGAAGAAGAAGAAGAAGAAGAAGAAGAAGAAGAAGAAGAAGAAGAAGAAGAAGAAAGATTAAGAGGAGAAGCGGGAAGAGAGGGGCGAAAAAAAGCAAAATGTACAGATATGCATACACACTACAAATGGTAAATTAACATTAGTGTTGTCTTCAATTTACTTGATCACCCACTTAACGTTTTCCTTCCTGTGACTATCGTAGGTGCCCAAAGAGGCAATGAACTGCAAGGCAGCAAGCTTTTCTTCAAAGGGGAACTTCCATCAGAGTCAGTGGCGACACAGTTTGGCAGCATTGTTTTGGAATGTGAGGTCGGCGGATCACCACCACCCACGATCCACTGGCTCAAGGACGGAGTGCGACTGCTGCAGGTAAATAAGATCTGGAATGAGTTGGGCTAAAAAACACAGCACAACATCATTGCTTGATTTGTGTATGTGCTGATGAAAGCTCCATAGCCGCAACGTTCACGTTTTGTTTGTATTTGTTATATTGTGAAGCTTTGCTAATATACTTTTCGTTCGATTTTATTTCTTTTCTTGAACGCATCACGCAGAACATTACCACAACTCTCTGTTTTCCAATCTCCGGCAACCTGATTAAGAGTTCCAACTCCATTGTACCAGTAGCGGCCTTATTATAGTTGTCTTGCCTTTTCCTTTAGTGACGACTGTTAAGGATGACCTTTTTGATGATTTTTGGAACAAGAAATATGCCATCATTATAGATGAAATGTAAAGACTTCATCCCATGTGAGAAAATGCTTAAAGATTTTACATTAAAAAAGGTTTACCCTGTATCTTCCACTGGTTCCAGTGAGGGTGACAGTCAAGAATTCAATCTAGAGCTTTTCATGTGAAGTGATATAATGTTACACTTTATTTGGCATTTTCTGGCATATTTTGGGTAATGGTTTGGCATAAAATGAAGTTTTCTTTATCTGGCAACCCTGCCTCCGCACCGTTCATTCTCTGACAACATAGGGCTTGACACGCAACAATTTACTGTCAAAAGGATAATTATATCTGCAATACTGTTACATTTTGCAAAGTGGTTAAAAATACCCGTTGATAAACATTTAAGTGATTTAGAATTCGCGCACACTGTGATAAACTGCCAGATTTACCACCTATCACTTATACGTTTTGAAAATATTTATTTTTAAAAGCAAATGAAAACTCCACAATAAACTTTCTTTCAAATCAATCTTGCCAAGGTTACCGAGTTCTTGAACCATTCCTTCTCATAATATGTATAGAAAATATTGACTGCTAATTGTTCTAACTAACAGCTATTAATATCGCAAGCATAGCAACCACAAAAACCCCTGTTGCTGCTACTACAACCATCACTATCACCACCAACGGAGACAAATACAACAGCCTGGCAGGAAATGGCTAGACCCAAACACACAGAGTTGCACTGTAATTGAGGAGTGAGCGAGCGTGTATGTACATAAGTGTGTGCGCCCACGCTTGCTCGTGTGTGTGTGTTTTTGCGCGCGCGTGAGTGTGTATGCATGCGTGCGAGTGTGCATGTATGTGTTTGCAAGTGTGTGTGTCCAAAAAATATGTGTAAGGAGACTTCTGGAACCGTTCTGCTCCTAGAATGCATCCCCATTGGCTGCAAATGCAACAAATGTGGCATGGCATGGTTTGCCTTTTAGCACAATCACATAGTCTCGAATTGGGCGTGTGCTTTCGACTCCGTATGCATACATACATCTCTGTTTTTCCTTTGGTTTCTCACCTCCACTCCCTTTTCTGTAAAAACAGTTTAACGTTTTACGCTGTTCTTTCACACCAAGGAATAACCATTACTCGGGCATTTAGCTCTTTTGACTACTTTCGAGAACATCAACTATAAAAGTGTTTACTGTATCCCTTCAAGGACGGCTCACATAGCGACGATGAAGCTTCATACGAAGACTCAGTCAGCTCAGGAAGCAGACGTGGATTGAGGCTGTCATCCACCCGATCCAGACTGTATCTCGACTGTGTTGGTGAAGAAGATGAGGGAGTGTACACATGTGTCGCCGAGAATGCCATGTTGAGAAAGTCACAATCAACTCGTCTCCGAGTGGGTGAGTAGAGCTTCGGTTTTGAGATTATTTTTCTAATGTATTCTAGTCATAAATATAAACAGATGTGCTTCAACAACTGCTTAAGTCAAAGTGTCTGTCTCGCAACACAAATATAAAAATATATAAAATGTTGATGAGACCAGTCGTGTTATAGTATATGGCTCTGAAACCTGCACAACTAAAACAAGATGAAGCCTTTTTACAGGTTTTCGAAAATAGAGTCTTACGACGAATCTGTGGACCCATCAGAGATGCAAACAGTGATGAATGGAGAGTGAGAAGTGACAACGAAATTCATAATCTGTTTAAATCACGTTTGATCACTGGCATCATAAGAGCTAATAGACTGAAATGATTGGGGCATATTGAAAGAATGTCAGATGACAGAGAAGTACAAACTGTATACACAAGGGAGATGAATGGTCGTAGACCATGAGGCAGACCAAGAAGAATATGGAGAGATAGTGTCCAGATAAACCTGCAGACACTTGCTTGATGTCACTAACTGGAAAGAGAAGGCCAACCAGAGAGATGAATGGAAGCGGGTGATATTTGCAGCAATGAACCTCAAGAGCTCGGAATGCTGAAGAAGAATAAGAAAAAGATTATAGTCTTAAAGTTTCACTTGACATCCAAGCTTCACATAAATTTGTTACATATATCTTTCAGAGAGACCTGAAGATGTCTTATACACTGAAGTCCGTGAATGCAGTGGGAAAAGATCAAATAAAGGTAATTACAGACTAGCTGTTGCTGCTTACAGACAATTTTCTTAATACTTACTTTAAAATTTGTATTTTCAAAAACCTAGACTCCTTGTATGGGTCGCTGGTTCTGGGGGCCCCCATGGGGGTGGGGGGGAATAGACCCACTACCCCTCAACAACCATGTCCTAAATGATGACAGGGGTTTGCTGAGAAGTGAAGTGTTGTTCCAAAAGGTGCAGATATCACAGCCTAGCTGTAAACCACAACACAAAATGCCAATGGTTCTTTTGGGGGCAAACATTGATACAAGTCATGAAAGAAACACTGAAGTTGGAAATCCTTTAAATATTTTACACAGGTCACTAATACATTGTTTAACAATGTATTTATCTACATTTTTATTTCTTTTTCTTGAAATATATAAAAGAGGTAATCAATGAACCCATACTAAAGCATTAAATTAAAAACAATATGTATCGGACTCATGCCGTGATCTTGTAACTTCTATCAATAATGAGAAAAGTTTACATCAACTTGGCTTTCAAAAGCCATTGGGATCATAAGGCAACCCCCTAATGCTATTTTTTAGTTACTATATTCATATCCTTTTCTATTAAACACTGCGCATGCACACAAGGAACAAATGGAATTTAACTATACTTTTCGATGAACGGAGAAGAAGAAGAACTAAGCTTTTCAAGAATAAGTCACTGCAGACAGGCTGGTATATCGGCATTTGCAGGATGGCACTGAGTCACAACTGGTGGTCATTAGATTAAATTTTCTCAGGTCGACAGAGTTAAACCTGTAACCTTAATAACGATTATATTCCCCTTTGGTGTTTGCTGCTAAGGCTTCTTGCACTGATGTATGTAAGTGAAAAATGGACAATACAATAACAGAAAGGCAGAGAAAAATCCTATAGCAGTGCAAATATTATTCTGACAAAAATGCAACATATACCATGGTAAAACAACTGAGACAGTCTTCTTACAAAATGAGAATTAAAAAGACACACTAATCAGAAAAAATCTGTTATTTTTATAGGAGAACAACTAGTTGAAGACAAGGAGATAAGTGGCTGGATGGCTTGATCCTATGGCGAGTGGGACAAGAACACATTCCTGATCTGTGATTCACGTGATAAAGTGCAATAGCAAATCATAACTGCCTGGATGTATAAGCACACCATATAAAGATGATTATGTCAAATCTTCAATGACTAAGAGTTAACTAACTTCCTTTCCCATAGCTGGGCGAGTCTTCTTTTCACTGAACAGTTTCTCAATGCTTTTTTTCTCACAGGTGAACCAGCCCGTATTTACATGTGGACTGTCTCCAGACTTGAATTTGAAAACAGTAAAGTCCAGCTTTTCTGCAGAGCAGAAGGCAACCCTGAGCCCACAATTACTTGGTATGATAGAGACAACAAGCCCATTGAAAGTGATGAGAACTATAGAGTAAGTGATAAAACATGTTCTGGTAGTATATGATAATAGTCCTTTACAAATGGGAAGGCTAACTCAGTCAACAAAGGCCTACAGAAGTCAGATGTGTTGGCTGAAAGCAGCAAATATCACTTCCATGTTGTAAATGGGCACAGCACATTTACATCTTCGGAAGAATGCAGAAGATGATATTCTTTTACAAGTAGACATTATTTTGCTAGCTATGGCAATGGCTGTTTTCAAAAGCTACAGTAAGAAAAGGAGGGTTTAAAAAAAAAAAGAAAAAAAAAAGAAGAAGAAGAAGAAGTGAATGCATGCCCTGGAAAGATAACAAAAGAGATGATGAAATATTTACCCAGCCCTGGCATTTATACTAAAACATTAATTGTTACACATATAACACCAGATACATCCTTAACTAGAAAACATCCATTTTCATCACAATGTTTGAGAAACCAAAATTTGTGTGGAGATTACAGAGTTAGACAGAAGAATTTTAATACGGAACCCTTTGAATTAAGCAAAAATAGCATAACTGAAATCAGTTTTTTTTTGTTCATGCAGATGATAAAATGGAGTCCAAATAGGGTTAAAATTATGTAAACTAATATAAAAAAAAAGCAAACTTACTGTAATAGTTCTTTTTTGTGTTTTTCAGATAACTAAAAGTGGTGATCTGATTATCCGTGACATTACATGGCTAGAAAACATGGGTGGATACACTTGTGTTGCAGATAATGGATTTGGCACGGACACAGCACAGACGTTCTTGTACCCTGTAAGTACAAATTAGGAATTGAACAGATAGTGAAGGATTGTTCCTTCCTTCCTCCCGATGTGGGTTCCAGGATCCCACTGGGTAAAAGGGAGGGGGGAAGGGTGGATAGACCTACTGACACCTTAACAAAAATGTCATAAAAGTTGACTATTTAGAAGTGTTGCCTGCAGAGGTGGTGTGCATCTGCCTGAGAGCGAGGAACCAGTAGTCTGCATACAAATTAGCAAGACCTGTGAAACAATGTGCATGCAAAACTACAGTTCTGGAACAAGATCAAAGTCCAGAATCGCACAAATAGCCATAACTTTCCCCTGGAGTTTACAACTGTGGAACGTGGAGAAGAAGTTCTATTTCCTCCCTCCATTTTCTTCCAGATAAAAGCTCTCGTAAAAATCAACTTTAATTTTTAGTCCCTTGAATTCATGTTAACACGGTTTTACAGTACTTCTTTACTGTCCCTAAACACTGGGCTCGTTTTCTTTCTTTCTAGAGGAAAGGTGCCAGTACTCACCACAGAAAGTGTTTAAAAAAGATGTCAGTACTCATAACAAGTGTCCACCATTGCACTGAAAAATATGATGCCTAAACAACGTAAGAAAGGTCCTTATACTATGGACCATTGCATACTTCCAGAAAAAAATAAATCCCTGCCTTGGTGGAATATTGATGCCTGATAAGTCACACGTGGTTGAGGCCTTATGGGAGCATGTGTACAATGTGGAACAGCAAATTGTTCATCACAGTCTGGTGAGAGTGATGCAGCGAGGAGTGACGAAGGGATCTAGCTGATACTTGACGCTTAGAGGAAAGGCAAGAGGCACACATAATCAGACTGCTGATAGTGCCATTGGTATTGGAAATCGGGGCTGGCTCCTGAAGATGGGGACGGAATGCTTATGGAATGACCCAAATGCTGTGATGTCAGTTCTTGTATCAATTCAAATCAAAAAGCCCTGCCTAAACATAACTGTGGACTAGTGTTTATCACATGCCAGTAGTCTTGTATTGCTAATGATCCTTTCACGATTGTTTATTTCTAACTTTCAGACACCAAGAGATGGTGGATTTCCTTTGTAATCTACAAGAAAGACCCCAAAGTCATGAGACGTTCCAAGACCAGTCACCGTTCTGAGTTCTAGTCAGCATCTGATGAACCCTCAGAATTTCTACACTTGAAACCAGAATTGTTATGAATGGCAAACAAGTGTTCATATACTGCATACTTATTGTGTAGGCTAAAATAACAAGTCTGGAACATCAGTCGTATTTAAGACCTAACCCTGCTGTTAATGATAGTGGAGTTTGTATTGTACACATGTATAAAAGAAGACATGGCTCACATGTTATTTCCTAGATGAGTCTGAGGGAAACAAATACAGTTGTGATTTAGTCAGTGAGACCTGATGGCTGAGTAAATGGTATCAACTGTTTCTGGTAAATAAAACAAAGTACACACAAAATAAAATCTTTTAAAATGCCATTACGACACCTCTAGCTATAGAATCCAAGTAGCTGCTGATTTAATTTAGGCAGTGAGATCTAACTCCTGATTACATAATCTAAAATTGTTTCTAGCAATGCAGAAAATCTCAGAAAGTAAAGTCGTGACAAAATTACACATCTAATTTAGTCAGTGAAGATGTTGACTTAATAGAAGTGTAAATAAACTTAGAAATATTATAAAGTTACATTATGGCCAGGGCTAAATTTATAGAAAAAAAGTCCTGATCAGAGCTGTCAGTTGAATTTAATCTGTAACTATATAATATATAATTGTTTCTGGTAAAAAAAAAAAAACAGAACAAAAAAATATTAAAGACCATTTAACAAAAAGAGGTAAAAGGTAAAAAAAAAAAAAAGGTAAAAATATGATTCAGTGAATGAGATCTAACTGATGAATATAAAATATTTTGTCTGGTAAAGGAAGTTAAAAATATCATAATGTAGAAAAATCTACAGGACAGAAATAGGTTAAAGATAACAACTGATTTAAGATCTGATTTGATCAATAAGATCTAACTGCTGACTACGTAATATAAAATTTTGTCTGGTAAAGAGAGTTGAACATGTCAAAACATATAATGCTACATGACAAACACAGTTAAAGATCTGATTAAGTTAACAGAATCAAACTGTTGACTATATAAGAAAACAATTTTCCTGGAATAAAGCTCAAAAATCTTATAATATACTATAATAAAACTACAGGCTCGCTTGCAAATGTTTTAGTAACAAAATGGCAGTTTTATTTTAAAATATAGCTGCTTTTTAAAAAGGTGTGAATATTTTACCTTTTTTTGTCATTCCTAATTTTGCAATGAAACACTAGATTTATGGCATGATGTTGTAACTATGGAATTATGGCTAAGAAAAGATGGCAAGGATGTTGTGTAAATGGTTAAAGTGCAATCTTTTGTTTGTTATTTTATTTTGTTGCTGAAAGCCTTATGACCATACCGCATGGCCAGGCTTCATCCAAGTTCCACATGTTTATTCCTGTCATTATTCATCATTGGGGGCACACATTTAAAATAAATTAAAAAAAACAGTTTTGGTTCTGGTGCCATGACAATAAAAAAAAGTAGCTAGGAGAATATGATTATCACCATAAATAAAATAGACAAAAGGACCGTCTCCATGTGGGACGCAATTTTTCGTTATTTTGAAACCCCAAACTGGCTTTTGCTGGGGGCGGCAATATATAGCCTGACAGTTGAACGCGGTTCCTGGGACCTCTCCACGGGTGATCCTCATCCGCATGGTGGCACTTGGTGTCACCGGTTGTTGATCACTGTGTGTGATGTCCTAGTGGGGCAAAATTTACTTACTTATTCACAATATTTATGTTTCAGGTTTACTTTGATAAAAACTTTCATAAGGGCCCTTTTTCATAAAGCCTTCAAGGGTTATTGTAAAGTACAAGACTAATCTAGAAAAGATTAGTTATATATTGTGTTTTAGAGGTGTCATACTGCCTGTATTTATACATTTTGCACTGTAGGCAGGGAGACGTTTGCCTGAGGATTTAGGGCCACTGATTTGAAACAGTAATACTTAACATAAACACCATCAGAGATGTCCAGCATTCTGATTCATAATGAAGTTTTCGCATAACTTATTCATTTGTTTACCCAGATAATTGGTTCGCAGATGTAAATATTTAAATTTATTTATTTGCAAATGTATTTATTTCCATGCCACTTTCCCCATGCTGAGTACCATATTTTATGCAGGAGTTCCCAAACTGTTGTCCTCAAAATAATGCAGCCCATCAGAGTTCATTAAATTTGTTTACACATTAAGACAGCTTCTAACATCATTTGAAATGTTACACATTTCTGAAAAAGGATGATTATGAAAGCAACCAAATCATATATTTATAACACTGTTACTTTATGTTAGAAACCAAATCATATATTTATAACACTGTTACTTTATGTTAGAAACCAAATCATATATTTATAACACCACTACTTAATACTTCTCTATAATTTCTTATTAACCCTGAAAGGACATGCTAGTTTCCTGCAGGATTTTCTTTTTGATTTTGAATTCTCTGTCGGAGATGGAGGATTAAATCAGTACATAATTTGTAACTGATTATCCAGGTGATATTAAAAATTTATAACCAAGTCAAAATGAGAAATTTTGTCTCTAAATAATGGCCACTTGGTCTTTAAAAGTTAAAGATATTTTTGTGTTTCTCTGCTGACTTATCGGCACTCTTTTGGTCTGTAAATTCACAATTGATTATTTCCCGGCATATGTCCACAATGGTTTGAATAACTTCTGCTGTATGGTATCCAGTGGTAGTTGTGAAACTATCAAGTCCCTAAATTTTATTTAAATAAATTATATTTATTTCATGCACAAAGTTGTTGTTTTTTATGTCTTTATTTGCTTAAGTTAATCATAAGTAAGTTGTTGGTGACACTTTGACCTCTAATAAATAATTGCAAAGCTGTAGAAATGAAACACATTTTTTATAACTGCTGACATTTATTTCATTGTGGTTGTGGTCATTCAAACATTTCATGGCTTGATTTGTGTTTAATCTTTCTCTTGGCTATTGGAAGTATTTTCTTCTTTGTTCACCGGCTTGAAGCACTGGCAAAAAGCCCTATTTGTTTGTCCATCTGGGCTTCAGCTTTGTGCCAGGGAATGAGTTTTGCATTTACATCAATTTTACTGGCTTATTTGTGTGCAGTTAGTTGTTTCTTGCTGCTCAGGAAGCTGCAAAGCTGCACTCCGACTTAACGAAGCCCCCAGTTAGCCGACTCCTCTGAAATACTTGTTGGGGAGGCAGTGGGTCCATTCTTGTTTTCCTCACACTGGGGCTCTGGAACCCACATAGGGTGGAAGTATTATGAGTAAGGGACCCTTTTTGCACTATTGTTGCATCAGGCTATTGCATTAGACCCATATTTTTTATAGACTACTCAGCACTTGATAGTGGTTGAGATCAAAATATTTACTTTTCAGAACATTTCCTGGTACCTCCCCATGTGGGTCCTGGGGTCCCATTGTGTGGGGGGAGAAGGGGATAGAACAAAGACACTGCCTCCCCAACAAGCATGTTGCAAGAGACGACTAATTGGGGCTTCCTTCAAAGTCGAAGTGTGTCTGCCCGAGAGGCATACAATTAAGCAAGATATGTAAAACAGATGCACACACAAAATTCAGGTCCTGGAACAAGGCCAAAGTCCACAATTGGATGAACAACCAAGTCCTTCTGCTGGAATTTACAACCAGCGAATGCCAACAAACAACATTTCCTGGTATCCATTTTATGCTGGAGCAACCTGAGAGCTGAAAAATGTGTGGACCACCACTTGTATCAACAGTTATAAGACATAGAAGATGGCACTACATTGGACACATTCAGAAAAGAGATAACTGCTTTCTGATTTAAGAATCGACATCATAGCACACCGGACATAACAGCAGGTGCTCTGCCTCCCGCAGCAAATGTCTGAAGGTGTAGATGCAAACTGTTCCGGTAGCACACTGATTAC